ACATATGCATGTGTGGGCATGTCAGAGTACATGTTCTGGGAGTCAGTTCTTTCCTTTGGGAAATGTGTGCTTGGTAACAGGCACTTTTACCCCCTGAGCCATCTCACCAGTCTTAAAATATTGTTTATTTTTTATTATTATCACTTTCTGTGTTCATGAGAGAGGGAGAGAGACCGAGAAAAGGGGTGGGGGAGCAACAAATAAATGTGCATACCTTGGCATAAGTGTATAAGTCAGAAGACAACTTTCTAGAGTTGAGTCTCTCATACTTTTATTTGGGTTTCAAAGATTGCGCTCTGGTCATAAGCATTGCATCATTCAGACAAGCGCCTTTATACCTGCTGGTCTGCTTTTCTTTTTAAATTTATGTTTGTTTTTTTTTTTTTTTTTGTGCGTTTTTAGATTTGTTTACTCCATGTATATACATATGTGAATGTACATTCCACAGCATGCATATGGATATGAGGACAACTCTGCAGAGTCACCAGGGACAAATTCAGGTCATCAGGTTTGGTGGCAGACATCTTTAGAGCTGGACCATCTCTCTAATCCTCTTCCATTTCTTCCTCCTTCCTTCCTTCCTCCCTCCCTCCCTTCTTCCTTTCTTTCTTCTTCTCTTCCTTCCATTTCTCTTTCTTGCTCTTCTTTTTTTCATTTCTCTCCTTCCTTTCATTTCTCTCCTTCTTCCCTCTCTTCCCTCCCTCTTTCTTTTTGGCTTTTCAAACCAGGGTTTCTCTGTGTAGTCCTGGCTATCCTGAAGATTAGGCTAGCCTCAGACTCAGAGATCCATCCGACAGCCTCTGCTGGGATTAAAGGTGTGTGCCACCACTCCCTAGTTCATTTCTTTTCTTTATTTGACATGTTATCATATAACCCAGTATGGCCTCAAATTTGCTGGATAACTTTGAACTTCTGATCCTCTTGCCTCCGACTCCCAAAAGTGCTGGGATTACAAGCATGTGCCACCACACCTCGTTTTATGAGTTGTTAGGGAATCAAACCTGAGGTTTAGTTTATAATAGGCCAACACTCTACAGTTGAACTACATCCTCAACCCATGTCTGGCCTGTCTACTTTCCAAGCTCCATGTTTGTGGCACTAAAATGCATGCACAAGTAATTGCACATAGATTAGTTGTTCAATTTAAAAGGTAATGAACAAGCAATGCTTGGGGAATACTTGTATGGAATATTGGAATATATTTCTAATGTTATTATGATTTTGCCACTGAAAACTTAAAATTTAAAAAGAAAAGCTGTACCAAACACTGATTCAAAAAACAAAACACACACACACACGGGGGGGGGGGGGGGGGGGGGGGGAACAAAACATGATGCCAGGATCTCCTTAGTACACACACTGTAAAAAGATTAGTAGGGATTCAGCACAAGACAGTGAACACAGGAGAGCAATTACACATCACTGTAACTCACAACAGATGCCAATAAAGTTCACTTATGTCAGTATCACACTTCAGAGATGGACAGGACAGTGGGCATAGCTAACCTGCTTGAGTTCAAGAAGACACACCCCTTAAATGTCAGCCACTAGGGTTTCAGGTCTTGATCACAGTAGAAGCAGACATGGGCAGTGCTACAAGCCAGGTGAGGAGAAATTTCCCAGCAGGATGGCAACAGCTGCCCAAGGACAAAGTCCAGATCGGACTCTGTCACAGGGCACAGGGAAGACCTGAGACATAGTTGGGAGCAAATCAAAGGGTCAATAAAAGAAATAATAAGGTGGCACAGGAACCTGAAAGAGAGATCAATACCTAAGGGTAAAGTTTTTGGGGTTTTTTATTTGTTTGATTGTTTGTTTTGTTTTTTGTTTTTCAAGACAGGGTTTCTCTGTGTAGTCCTGAAACTCATTTTGTAGACCAAGCTGGCCACAAATTTACAGAGATCCTCCCTCTGCCTCCCTAATGCTGACTTTAAAGGTGTGTGTCACCACCACCCAGAAAGGGTAAATGCTTTATCTAGAGAGGCGAGAAAGGTGACAGTGGGGAAAGAGTCGCATGAGCTGGTGGCTGACACACCCCGTCTCTGCACGCACATGGCTGCACATCTAGTCTACATCAATGCACACAGCCTTGTGACACCCTTATGGGTAACAAAAAAGCCAACTGTGAGGACATGATCCAGCAGAGGAAACTTGCTAATGAAATTAGATATTTCAGCTTACTAACACAGTTCAAGGATTTTTTTTTTTTCTCCCTCAATAGCATCAATGAGCCAAGACACTTAAGAGCTGCAATGGCTAGACTGATTGATACTGTGTAAGGACCTATGAGTCTTTGTGTTACGTGTAACTCCTAATCCACGACCTTTGCCTCAGCACACATATGGCAGAGGCCAGGATGAAATGGGACTACTTTTTTCTTTTGTTTAAAGACATGGTCTCATATAACTCAAATGGTTCATATAACCCAGGCTGGCTTTAGTTCTCCTACTTTCATCTCCCAAGTGCTATACACCCTATCCTAAAAATCAAACATCTTCATCTTCAATGCCACAAATATCAAACTTAATTTTCTATCAGAGTATAAAGAAATTTTACCATTTTCAAGAATAAATATGAGTCACGAATGGTGGTACACCTTTAATTCCAGCACTTGGGAGGCAGAGGCAAGTGATTTCTGTGACTTTGAGGCCAACCTGGTCTACAGTTAGTTCCAGGACAGCCAGGGCTACAGAGGGAAACCCTATCTTGAAACACACATACACATACATATACACATACACACACACACACACACACACACACACACACACAGAGAGAGAGAGAGAGAGAGAGAGAGAGAGAGAGAGAGTAAATCTGAGATAAAGAGGAAAAAGTGATGACTAGATCAAAGGCAAACCACATCATTGGAAAACATGGCAATTTTCTTCACTTTGTTTTAAAGCTTATCTTAACTTCTTCCAATAATTTACTAAGGCATGTTACTGTGCCAATCTCTCATTTTATTACTTACATCTTCAATGTCAAAGTTTACTTTAATAAAATTACCTTGCTTAATTCAAGGGTAACACAGTTAAGTGTAACAATGGCTCTGTGGCATGACCTACACTACCCAGGAACTGCAGACACCTTTTTTTCTGGCAATACCATCTTCATCTATCCCAGTCAGTACTGTGGTATTCTACCATAGTTATGAGATGCTTGCTTGCTTTCCAAAAAATGTTTTTAAAAACACTCTATGCAATTTATCTAAGTGTATGAAATTGATTGTTTTACCTTTATAAAGATTTGCTTGCAGCCAGCTAAATGGCTTAGTGTGTAAAGGCAAAATGATCTTAGTTTAATCCCTGGAATCCATATGGTAGGTGGTGAGAAATAACTCCTATAAGTTACTCTGACCTCTACATGTCAGTGCTGGCACACACAAACACACAAAATAATTAAGATGTTTTAAGCTAAGCATGGCACCGCAAGCCAGACAAGATCATGAGTCTGGAACCTGCCTGAGCTACATAGCAAAACCCTCTCTAAATTACAATTTTAACAAAATGTTTCAGCTTATGCATGCTGTAGCACCCAATCCAACCCACACCTAACCCTCACAGCCTGCAACTTAGTAGCAAGAACAATTCTTGACCCTCAAACTTCCAGGCCTGGAAATTTACAAGTCTTAAGTCACTGAGTCCTCTCAACAGCATTCGATTAGTGTGCCCATTTTACAGCCATGAAACCAAAGGCAAAGAGACCCTACCCGATACCACAAAGCCAGTAAAGGAGGAGTCATGACTCAAGGGCGGTCAGTCTGGCTCCAGAACCAGCACTCATTTTCACTCTGCTCCAGCCTCTGGCAAGCCAGCTGGAAGAAGCCACCTCTCCATTCCCTCCTAGGCACTCGGCTCTCCTGACTATCCAGTCACACCTCTGCTCCTTTTAATTCCCATCCCCCTCGTTCGTTGTAAAAGGGGAAGCATGGACAAAACCACCTGCTGTTTACAGACTGCACCCAGGATGCAGTGCTCAATTGCCCTCCCTAGCTCCCAAAGACAAACGTCTGTATTGTCTGCACCACGGGAGGAACTGAAGCCTCGCAACTGTACGCTTTTCTGCAGAGGTCTCTGGAGGCCTGGCCAACCCGTACAACACTGAAGGGGGAGGGGGCCCACCGCATTTTTGCGGCTGAAGGTTGCGTAGCGCCCACAGCAGCTGCGGTGAGCAGCAGCATGGAACACACCCACAGCTGCCGCGCCCGAAGCGGGCAGCACGTTTTAAAATAAAGACAGCCTGGCCGGGACTCACAGCCTGCCGGGCTCGCAGCCCCCACCCAACCAACGCCTGCTGCTACCAGCAGGCGCCCGGGGAATTTCAAGACTGAAAGGACGGGTAAAGGACCACCCGAACCTGCCGCAGAGGCCCAGACGCCAAGCCAGGGCGCATCATGCGCAAGCAAGCCATGACCCGACCCACCGACTCCCGGGCTTCGCGGACAAAGCCTGGCCCGCAGGATCTTCCGGCAAGCATCATCTCTTACCACCCCGACTACATGGAGCGAGCAGACGGAGTCCAGCGCGCAGGAAGGGCACATATACATCAGCTCTGGGCCTGGACACATAACGCACACCTGTCCTCAGGCTGACTATACACACCTGTCTGCAGGCCAGACACCCTCACACCTCACGCCTATCTTCAGGTCCATCACAATCCCAACCACCCCAAGCAAGGAGCTCTCACAAAACTATCTTGAGCAGGGACACACACACACACACACACACACACACACACACTCATCCAAAGGCCGGGCACGCGTGCAAACCACGGCACTCTCACACCCACCCTCCGGTCCGTTCTCTCACGCAAAACCGCCTTCAAACTTCCTGGCCCTCGGCCGCGGCACCCTCGCACGGACCCTCTCCGACCGGGTCACCGGGGGCCCGGATTCCTAGCACGACTGGGCTGGGGGCCTCCGCCCGGGCCAGGCCATGGGGCCGCAGCGAGGCCTCTCCGCCATCTTCCCGGCCCGCGCCGCCCATCTCCCGCGCTCTCACCAGCCGGCCCTGAACCCGGCGCGCCGCCACAGCCCCTCATCACCGACCGCACGCTGCGCCCCAGCTCCCAGCGGCTCCCGGCCGCCGTTGCCACCGCAGTCAGCTCTCCACGTCCTGGGTCTCCGCCGCTGGTCCAGTGCGCTGCGGCCGCGCGTCCCCCGTCACCAAGCGCAACCCCCCGCCTCCAACTCCGCCCCCGCGAGGACGCTGGCACCGCCAGGGGGCGCCGCCCGAGAGGCGGCAGTGCGCCTGCGCCACCGCGCTGACCCTCGGGAGCCAAGAGCCAGCCTCGCCCCCAGTTCTGTATTAGGCAGCAGTTTTGCTCTCGCCTATGCCCGCCCACTTCAGGCGGTCTGGGTCACCTCGGCTGTGGGTGTGGCGTGATTACACTAGTTCTAACCTTGCTGGTGTTTCTGAGCCTGAGATTTACCTCTTCCTTGACTCTGGAAAGGTAGCCATTGTCTAAAATATCCTGCGTACTCCATGTTTCTAACTTCTCTGTATGATTTCCCTTCTTTTGCCTCAACTCTTCTCGCGGTAACTCACACACAGCCTTAAATGTGTTCCCCTTTCTATTTTTGTTTTGTTTAATGTGTGTTGTACATGATGTGTGTGCGTGCACGTGCCAACGGTGTCCGTGTAGAAGTCAGAGGACAGAGTCTTCCACTGTGGGTTCCAGGAATGGAACTTACATCCTCAAGCTTGTGCAGTGAGCCCTTTTACTGGGCTATCTCCTTAGCCCTTTTAAAATTGTTATTACTTATTTATTTTAATTTAGACATGGTTTTGCATAACCCAGGATGACCTTCAACTTGCTATGTAAAGAAAGGTGCCTTTGAAATTCTAATCCTTCTGCCTTCATCTCCCCCAGTGCTGGGGTTACAGGCATATGCCCCGGTATCCGGTTTATGCAGTAGTAGAGATGGAACCCAGTGTTTTATGAATACTAGGAAATAAATCTACCAAACTGAGCTACATCCTCGGCTGACTTTTGGGTTCTTTTGTTTTGTTTCTTTCAGATGAGATCTTCTATGTGTGCCTAAGCTGACCTCAAATTTAAGATCTGCCTGCCATTTATAGGTTATAGGTGTGTGTGTGTGTGTGTGTGTGTGTATCACCCTGCCAGATTTTGTTATCTTTTGTTTTTAAAAACGTATTACTGGGGCCTGGAGAGATGGTTCAGCAGTTAAAAGAAAGTGTGTACTGCTCCTCCAGAAGATCTTAGTTCAGTTTCCTGCTCCCATGATAGCTGGTTCAAAACCAGCTATAAATCCAGCTCCAGAGAATCCATGCCTCTAGTCTTTGCATTAATGTACACAAGAATTGTTTTGCTTTGTTTTTTGAAACAGGATTTCTCCGTAGCTTTGGAGCCTGTCCTGAAACTTGCTCTGTAGACCAGGCTGGCCTTGAACTCACAGAGATCCACCTGCTTCTGTTTCCCAAGTGTTGGGATCAAAGGTGTGCACCACCACCACCTGGCCACAAATCACTTTTTTTAATGATGAAAATAACCTTCAAAATATTTTACTTATTTTGTGTATGTGTATAGCTACATGTATCAGGGTCCACATGTAGATATCAGAAGACAACTAAGGGAGTCAGTTCTCTCCTTCTGTTTGGGTCCTGAGGGTGGAGCTCAGGTCTGCAGGCAAATAACTTTGCCCACTGAGCATTCTCTCCAGCCCATGTCTTTGTTTCTTTACTTTTTTTTTTTTTTTTTTAACTTTTATCTGTATTTTTTTTATGCTGAGTTTATTCCGGTGCCATAAGTTTTTGTTACTTCAGTTTCTTCTGGGATATCTCTTTCTTCTGTGCAACCTCCTCTTCTAGCTTTGGAACAATCTGCTCCTTTTCTGTGAGGATCATCTCGATGTGGCAGGGGGAGCTCATGCAGGTTAATCTGCCCGTGAGCTCTGTAGGTTTGTGGGTGAATCTTAGGTGCTTTGTTCACCTGGATGTGTTCAATGACCAGAGAATCACTCTCTGCATTTTTAAGCATGTGCAGCAAAATTTCAGCACTCTTTTTGGCCACTAACCCTGTGTCCAGCCCCACAGTTTGGCCTAGGCGCACCTGCCTACTCCACCATTGTACTGCCGGAATGGCACACATTGCTTCTTCAAAGTGACATCTTTCAGGTATTTGGTGGCTTTTTGGATATGCATGCCCTTGATGGCCTGGGCAGTTTCACGAGTGTTCTTAAAGTGAATCCAAAGATTCGATCCTCTTGACTTGCATGATTTCATAGGGTTTTCTGGGTTGAGAGAGTAGCAAACCATCTTCACAGGTCAGTCACCTCAGGCTGCTTACAGGAAGAGCTATTTTTTTTAATGTGTTTTTGCCATAGGTATCAGGTCCCCTGGAACTGAAATTACACACAGTTGTGAGCTGCCATGTGGATCCTGGGAATTAAACCCCAGCTGAACCCTGGTTCCTGTCATTATTTCTATGAGTTGTACTTAAGTTCCATTTGCAGTCAAATAAAATGGCCCAAAGCTCTTGAAAGACTGTACAGAGTTCCATCTATGTCCAGATCCTGTCCTACTCTCATAAGAAAGAGTCCAGACTCTTCAACACTCCCCTGCTTCAGGCCTGTGTGCCCTGTGCATCTCCATCATGCTCACACTTAGCTCTTTCTTGCTGAGTCATACTGCACACTTGCACACTTAGATATGGACAAGGGCTTCTGTTCTCCTCAGAAAATGCTGTTGAAACAAATATTTTACATGTTGAACAAGAAACACACAAACAGCAAAAGTAATTCATCGAGGCAATTGATTTTTGCAAAAAACATAATAAATTAACCAGTTCAGCAAGTACACTATGTCAAGAAGTTCACTTTGTTTTTATCCTAAAGGAGGTAGTGACTGTCTCTTTCATATTGCCTGGGGTCACCTCATAGTCTTTCCTAATTGGCTAGTTTTTAAATTAATCAACCCAAAGGAAATGAAGGAAGAGGGTAAGGTGTTGGCTGCTACGGATCATCAAGTTTTGGAATTGGAGGAGGGTAAGAGCTTTGTGTAAGGAAAAGTTTTCTTAGGTAGAGGAGAGTTAAAGGTTTGGATCTCTTTACATGGAAGTTTTAGAGAGTGAGTGAAATTCTGGCCACCTGAAGTAAGCTGACCTGTATGAAGCTAGACCATTTCTTTCCTGCTAGCTGAGGCTCTACTTCCCTTATCCCTACTGGAAATAACAATAGACTGCCTATTGGCCTCTTGAACAATGTAAACAGTTGTTCTGAACGAATAAGGGTGATGTAAATAATAAATAAGTAAATAAATTTAAGCCAAGCTTGGTGTTACATGCCATCAATTTTAGCACCCAGGAGGCAAAGGCAGATAGATCTCTAAAGTTTAGGTCAGTGCTGAGATTAAAGGTGTGCCACTACTGCTTGCTGTGTGAATAGATCAGTTGGTCTACAAGAGCTATTTCCAGGACAGAGAAACGAAACCCTGCCTCCAAAAAGAAAGAAAGAAAGAAAGAAAGAATAAAGAAAGAAAGAAAGAACAGAACAGAAAAGAACGAAAGGATCTCTGTGAGTTCAAGGGTAGCATGGTCTGCAGAACAAGTTCCAAGACAGCCAGGACTGTTAAACAGAGAAACCCTGTCTCCAAAATGAAACAAACAAAAACAACAATGAACTGGAAATATGGAACAGTGGGTATAAGTGCTTGCCATTAAACCCCAAGACCTGAGTTTGATCCCTGTTAACTGCATGATGGAAGGAGAAAACTGACTCCTACAAGTCATCCTACACACATAGACACAGAGTAAAATCAGTTTTTCAAAGAATAATTTATTTATTCTATTTATGTCTGTCATAGTTACTTTTCTATTGCTGTGACAAAACACCATGACCAAGGCAACTTAAATATTCCACAATATAAATGTGTTTGAAGAGGCCAGAAAGCATAGGATCCCCTAGAAATGGAATTATAGACAGCTGTGAGTAGCCCAATGTGGATTCTGGGAACTGAACTCAAGTTCTCTGTAAGATCAGTAAATTGCTCTTAACCATCGGGGCATCACTCCAACCCCATATTTTGTTTGTTTGTTTTTCCAGAAAGGGTTTCTCTGTCTAGCCCTGAATGTCCTAGAACTTACTCTGTAGACCAGGCTGACCTTGAACTCACAATGATCTACCTGCTCCTGCCTCCCAAGTGCTGGACTAAGGCATCTACCACCACTACCCAGATTGGTTTTTTTTTTTTTGTTTGTTTGTTTTTTGTTTTTTTTTTTTTTAAAGAAAGAAAACAATCTGGAGAGACAGCTCAACAGTTAAGGGAACTCAAGAGAGCCTCTTCGGACCTTTGAAGGTAGCATCCACACACATAAGTTCACAAACACACAAATAAAAATACATTTTATTTATTTTATTTTGGTTTTGGTTTTTCAAGACAGGGTTTCTCTGAGTAAGAGCCCGAGCTGCTCTGGAACTCACTATGTAGACCAGGCTGGCCTTGAACCCACAGAGACCTGACTCTGCCTCCTGAGTGCTGGAATTAAAGGCCACCATGCCTGACTAAAATAAATAAATCTTTAAAAATATAAACAACTCCCTCTTCGACACCCCCCCCTCCGACCGCCATGCCAGGCCCGGTCTACGCCGAGGTGAACAGCCTGAGGAGCCGCAGGTACTAGGACTACGAAGCCCACGTCCAGAGCTGGGTTAATCAAGATGATTACCAACTGGTTCGAAAACTTGGTCGGGGCAAGTATAGTGAAGTATTTGAGGTCATTACACCAACAATGAGAGAGTGGTTGTAAAAATTCTGAAGCCAGTGAAGAAAAAGAAGATAAAATGAGAGGTTAAGATTCTGGAGAACCTTTGTAGTGGAACAAATATTAAGCTGATTGATACCAGCTTTGGTATTTGAATATATCAATAATACAGATTTTAAGTAATTCTACCAGATCCCGACTGACTTTGATATCCGGTTTTATATGTATGAACTACTTAAAGCTCTGGATCACTACCACAGCAAGGAAATCGTGCACAGGGAAGGGATGTGAAACCTCACAATGTCATGATAGATCACCAACAAAAAAAGCTCTGACTGATCAGGGTCTGGCAGAGTCTTGCTCAAGAGTACAATGTTCTAGTGGCCTCAAGGTACTTCAAGGGACCAGAGCTCCTTGTGGACTATTAGATGTATGATTACAGTTTGGACATGTGGAGCTTGGGCTGCATGTT